GCCGACATTTCTGTCCATTAGTATCATTATCCATTAGATTTTGTCTTCCTATCAATACAAGCACCATTTTGTAAAACATTTTTATTCTTGTTGGCATGAAACCGTTCTATGTATTTTATTGTCGTCTGATTACCTTTTTTTATTATTTTTTGGTTATTTCTAAACTTTTTAGTCACTTGTCATGAACAGAATACATCTATAGGTTTTTCACGTATTTTATTTATCATATATTCATTTATTCCGTGTTTATATTTGACTATATGAATATATGTATATGCGTGCACGTGCGTGTATGGGTTTATAACAAAGAACATTTGTGCATGTGCTGCAATTACACATATATATACATGATTAATTTTTCATTTATATCCATATCTTATCAATTAGAGTTTTTATTATTTCACTTTTCTTTCCGTTTTTCTTTTTTAGAAGGAGGAATGAGAACTTCATTACTTGACGCTTTTCTCTTATTCAACCCCAATATTTGATACTTTATATGCATATACAAAAACACAATATATAGATTCAACACAACCAACCTTATATATATATATGTGTGTGTATATATATATATATATATTCATAGATAGACAGAGATTTATATATACACACACACACACACACACATATAAATATATATATATATATATATATATATATATATATCAAAAGAAAGCTTTAATTTAGACGAAATGGCTTAATTCTAACATGTTTGCGACCCGAATATCTTTTTTACTTTTTTCTTTTTGGCAATAGAAGAAAACAATGAATCTGGAGAAAATTTCGTTTTATGAGAAACATGAAACCAAATTGCAAAACCAATAAATAATAGACTACTCTTTACACACACACACACACGTATAAATACATATGTACACAGTGATATACATACACACGTACACACACACATGCACGCATAAACATGCATAAAGAACCATAGAAAATCTATTGAAGATAAAGACAGGCTGAATACGAAACTAATATCTTCACCCTAATCAAGTCTGTGATTCCAGTGTTCTCTGATTGTGACGGAATGAAAACTGAAGGAAGAATGAATAAAACACCGAACAGTGAAGAGCTTATTAGTTGCGCCTATTCTGTTATTATTCTATGCCGTTACGAATCGTTCGTTTTTACCTTTTGTCTCGTCCAATGCCATCTCCATCCATATTCTGTTCGTTGACCTCCTCGCTGTCTTTCTCAGTTCCATAAGAACAGACACACACCCAAACTCACTCATTCATCATCTAAATTGTGTGCGCTCTGTTAGGACGATGAAAATGGCGGAAAACGCAATGGAATAAAGTCTGTAAAAGAGTCTTTCTTTGCTTCCTTTTGAGAATGTTGTAGTAATCACAAGTCAAAAATGGGTTATTGTCTGCGAGCGCTTACGAATAGGAATAAATTCGATACCATCTTATTTTATTCAAAAGTGTGTGTGTTGGGGGGGGAAGCCTATAGATTGAAAAGTGATAAAAATAAAAAAAAATATGTGAATCTCTTGCTGCAATATTCCAACGAAATAATGTGGTATAAATTATATATATTTATGTAACTGATCTCATATTCCAACAATGCATTTTTAATGTTTTACTTTATTTTCTTGATTAAAGTAAATGCAAGTCATTTTTACAAACATTTTCCCATGAAACTAAACCCATGACTGAGTTTGCAACCTTTAAAATGTGATATTCATTTTCTTTTTATCAGGATTTAAGAAACTAAACCAAACTCTTGACTTTATATGCGAAGACTGTTTTCACTTCAGTAATATATAACGCACTTATAACATTCTTGTAATATTAATTCGCTCATTCAAATTCCTTGAAAGTTTAAAGCGTTTGGTAAGAACAGATATGTCGCTTGTTATTGCCTGAGAGGTAATATTTTAAAATCATGCAATTAATTCATTAGTTGGTTACACGTTGTTTTACATAAAACATCCAAGATTATCTCTGCGACAGTTCGAAAAAATTTTCATGCAAAACAAGATTTGAAACTATCCTATTACAGATTTTTTTTCATTAAATGATTAAAATAACCGAAACTTGTTTTGTTTTTTTTTTTTTTTTCGTTTTTTTTTTTTTTTTTTTTTTTTTCGTTTTTTTTTTCGTTTTTTTTTTTTCTTCAGAATATCTTCCTTGCGGCCTCCAGAATCTCAGCTGTAATTAATTTATTCATGTTTTGGAAAAAATTGTTTAATAATCTAACATAATCCCTTACTTAAAAGAAATTGTTGTCAATAATAGTAAAGTACGCCGAATTTTTTATTAAATTATGTTTGTTCTGCATGGGATCTTGGATGACATTTTTGATTTCGTTTATGATTGTAATTATAGGCTACCATACAATGCTACATTTCTCTGAATGCATTCGCAGTCACAGATTAAATTTGCAATTAATTATATCCCAGTATACCATTTATAAGTTCTTATGTAAAGTAATACTTACTAAATTTTTAACCACTTTTAAATAATAATTCAATCAATGTGTCATCAAAGAGGCCACACAAAATTTTAGTAAATCATGATATTTGGTAATTTTAAAACCGTGATTATTATTATTTTTCTTTTTTTTAAAAAATAATTATAATTTTTTTGTAAATTATATTTTTGTAAATTATGAACTAAATTATGGAAGTATTTCATAACAACAGTTAATTAGGTGACGGTGTATCTAGTGACTGTGGCGCCCACCTCGGATAATTTACCGCTACCCTAACAATATTCCCAAACTGGAAAATATCTACAAAATATAAAGAACGATTACAATTACGGTCATTTATTTTACTTTGATGGCAAACAAAAATAAATAAATAAAAACGCAGTAATTTTAAAAGTTAAATTTATCTGAAATTTCGCTCCCCAAAATCTTGAATCCCAAAGTCCCCAAATAAATGCCCAAAAGATGAACCAAAAATGAATTTTGGTAAAACTGGCACAAATGAAATGGAAGGAAATAGCACGAGTGGAATTAGAGGAAAACATCAAACAAGTAATTTGCATGTTTATTCATTGTACTAATTCATTGTACTAATTCATTGTACTAATTCATTGTACTAATTCATTGTACTAATTCATTGTACTAATTCACCTAAATGCCAACTCACAAAACTTGCCTCACGGAGCGGAACACCAACCCGCCTCACCTTTAGGTTCGACTTTATTTTGTGACAGAATTATGCATTTATCTAATTGCTTTAATTAAACTATACAATCTTTTGCTTTAATTGTATGAGAGAAAAAATGTATGCAATTGGCTGACATAACTATATAATTGAAATTAATGTTTTAATTATGTAATTGTATTACGTAATACAGAAACTGAATTAAATGATTGATGTAACTATAAGAAATATATAGAGCATTATAATTAACATAAAATTAGCACGTTTTTATTAATTCATTCATTCATTTATTTCAGGAGTAAAAATTCAGAAAATCAGTTTTGTAATCAAATAGAAATTTGCTCAGTTAAGTTTGAAATTGAAGATATCTATTTGGTCTCCTAGCAGCTAGGGTAAAATGTGCTTATAGATGACACATTCAGTCATAACGAGACAGATGGAAGTCTATATTAAATACTACTTTTATTATTACTACTACTAAGAGTAGCAAGAAGTAAACTTTGATAAAGACAATTATCAATTTTCGTAATAAATTACATTGAGAAATTTAGCTTTATAAGCTTATTGTTGACAAGATTCGACTCATTGTAACACACACACACAAATACGGACAATTACACATATTCACGCTTACAAATATACATGTACACAAACATACATGCACATATATTAAGTAATATGTATTTTTGAATCTACGAAGGTTTTAAGGAGCTTGGCATCACCTTTTAATTGCTGTTGATCCCAGGTTTACCCTGACCTGGGGTGATAGCACCTGTTAGGATCCCAGCTATAGGCAAATACTGAAACCCCTTCCAAGCATAAACAAAACATTATGAATGTATAAAAATACCTCTTTTATAGTAAAATTACAAGCAATACATATTTATAGCAAAATTGTCAACAATAATTTTTATCTCTAGTTGAACGCATATAGTTGCGTTCAAAATATTTAGATTTCGGCATTAGATAACCCATAGAGGTTGGTATGCTGCTAAATAAAATCAACCAAACAACCAACATGAAAGAACTCTTTCATGACATTAATCGCTATACTATCCTACAATTTCTTAAAGAAATCGAACTGTATTCCAAAATATGACTACAACATACAACACATCTCTAGTAGTTATGTCCACGCAAACATCTATATGCGCAAAAACTGAGTATCATCTATTATGTACTCAATAATGAAAGCACAATAACATATATCACATTTTTATTACTTCACAGCTCCAAAGGAATTTAAATTTTGGCATTAAATGACCCATAAAGAGTTGATATGTCGTTAAACAAACAAAACAAGCATTACATCTACAACAGGAAAGAATTCTGCTTGTTTTTTTTTGTTTTTTTTTGCTTGATTTTTTTTTTTGTTTTTTTGTTTTCAAAATGGAGGTCATTTGGAAATCGAATGAATATGCTCTACAAAAACATCTTTTTGGTGCGTGGAAACGAGGCTTTTTTTTTATTGTTTTGTAGTCTTTCTCCTCTGTTTCGATTTTGCGAATTTAGTCTATGCTTCAAGTGTATATGAACATTTTCCTAAAAATATTTAGTTTTCATGATTTTTATAATTATTATTTCACTAACATTTACTTGAAGTCATGTAATAATGCTTTTTTAAGCAGATAGCGAATAAATTTCTGGAAGAGATAACAAAAAGACAAAATTTATTAAGAACTACAAAGGACAGGATATCGCGGAGAGCCATGACCACCAAAGTTCTGAAGGGACACGGCACACAGAAGAAGAAGTGCCCGTTCTTCCACAAATAGAACGTATTTTAAGACATTTTTTTATACCAGACAATATTTTTTATCGATAATATACACGGAACAGAGTAAAATACAATATGTTCTTATTTGTATTAGGCTGACGACCACATCACGTTGAAACATCGGTTCTTTTCCGATCACCAAAATTAAGCAATGTCGAGCCTGGTCAGTACCTAGATGAGTGACCGCTTAAGAATACCATATGTTGTAAGCTTGGATGTTCTGGTGGTTGAATAGATAATGGCTCGGAATTGTAAATCGGAGAGCAAATTCACGTTGGGTTCGTTATATTCACTTACTCAGAAATTAGACCCGTTTGCGGGTCTCCCCATGGTTAATTTATCAAGGAGGTAACTTCTAGATAATATCGACCCAATAGACGAGTCCAGCCTTCGAAGCCAAGCCATGTAAGTGAAACACTTTGGAAGCAGTCGCGGTTGTGCTTATCAACATTTGAGCACTGACCATGTTCCACAAGCTTGATCACGTCTTTGCAGAGAAGCGGGGTATCTGAAGCAGGAATTAGCTAGCCACATTAACAGATGGAGATACTTGAAAAACGATTATCCTGTAATTAATTATTAATTAATTATTATGTAAGAAGTGTGTACTAGGAATTTATATTTTTATACCGTTTATACTCATTTGCATTCTACCATTTTTATTTCTCTGCGCTTTTCTTTTCTGCTCTTGCTCTTTCATTTATTTTAAGTCTTCTGATTGACTATAGCAGACAAACAACACACACACACAAGCTAACACTTGTGAATGCATTCTTATAGTAGCTCTGCTATATAACTCACGAACCAAAGAAGGATCTGTAATGTTATCGGTCCTGAACTGGCATCTCGATTTCAGTCACTTTGATGTGGAATTTCTTGTAACTTTTCCATAAATATCTTCATGGTAATTGTTCTAACAAGATTTCATCCCTCGTACATCGTATCTGTCTATATTTCTGAGATGAGGCATTATGTTCAATATTTACATTATTATGACTATTGTCCTCAACTTTGTTGCCATATTTATCACAACGTTTCGGCTGTTGTACGCTCCGATCATCTCCAGGAGGTTGGAATGCCGAACTGAACCCTTTATTTCGTTCGCCGGGGTAGACTGTACGTACCTCGATTTCATGATTTTAATCACAGTACTAGATCGGCAATTAGATCTCATCAGTTTACAGTTGAAATGGCCAAGTATAAGCGTAAGTTCTATGCTACTAGTTCCTTCACTCGTACTTCTCAGCTGTTGAACTCTCTTCCGCTATTTGACTTCCCTGCCACCTACCTACAAAAATTTAAATGCAACGTCAATCGCCATCTTCTGCTTTCTTGAATCCTGTTCTGTTATTGTCATTTCTCCTTACTAATGTTTTCTTGTGTACCTCGAGGCGGTGTAATGGTTTACAAGCTTGTCTTGATAGAAAAATTACTACTGAGCAGTGAGTTCGATTATCACTGGGATCTCCATATTTCGGCCTTGTGCCATATCTAAGCTACGCTTGGAAAATCACCATATTCTTCTGTTGGGCATTTTGATGTGTCGCACTGGTTAGCAAGTTTGTCTCGTTAGACCAATTACGACTGAGTTGTGCGTTCGAAACTCACTGGTTGACCCTTACTTACGCCACAACTAAGCTACACTTGGAAAATCACTACTAATGTCTTCTTACTTTCTTTCACTCTCAGTAACCCCTTGCATCTTAGTGGTATTATCGCCTTGCTTAGGGTGATATAAAACACACTTGACATTTATTTGTAATTTTTTCTTTCAATTGATTTCTGTTGCTTTTTTATTCCAAGTCACGAGTCATTATTTAATCCCAGTAAGCCACAATTCACCTATGAAATTTAAACGGCAGGATTACAAACGTGAAACCAGGCGTCCTCTAAAATTAAAATTTGAGAAACACCGGGATATTGTAATAGGCAGGTACATTTTATTTTTGTTACGGGCGTTCGTCTAATAAAGGTCCAAGCGCCACGCAAGGTAGATGATTACTGAATGAGGCGTGTGATATGAACTTAAGAGGAGGAAGTAGAAAGATTATGAATATCTAGGCGATAGATGACGATCGACTAAGTGGTTAAGATTGTGGTGTTTGGGGAAGCATCCATGCGGGAGTCTGTTTCGCGAACTAGTTGTTCGTGAGAAGAAGGTTTCTGAATGAGACACCATTCTTACCAATGGAATACGTAGAGAATGAGGCTGAGTGTTGGATGTGTTTGTAGGAAGTTAAGTCTTGGTTCTAAAAGTCTGAACTGATGGCACTAAAGAATGAAGTTCATGTCAGCATTTGCCATGTAAGTAAAGATAGAGTAGCGATAGGCTTGCAATATTGCAGGAAAGAGACAGTAGGGCGGAAAGTAAGTAATCCTCCACATCAATGACTTTGAATTCTTTCAAAGTTAGAAAGTGAGGATTGGGTAGCTTTAAACCAGGTACTGCAGGACTAATGCAGTTTTTGTCTGAGTTTACATTTGCAAAGGTAGAGCATGGCAGCAAAAGTTAAGTATAAAAAAGACAAAGTTTTCTAACATTTTAGCAATAGCTCTTACATGCAAGTTCCACTTGAGGTCTAGCTGACCATGTGTGGTGAGGAATACACCAGCCTTTTTTGAATGAGGTCAAAATAACAGACAATCTGAATCAGTGTTAACTAAGTGAAATGAAAAAAATCTGCCCACATATTCTGCTAGCTAGTGTAATAACCAATGCGATGCAATACCATGATACTTCAGGCAACGACCTCAGCTTTGAAGTCATTGTAGGAAGAGCCAAGAAAAAAATGGACGCAAAACTAGACATGGGACAGAGAGACGAGCATCGGAATTCAAACGTCGCCTGAGGAAATTACAGGCCTTGCTTACACTTAGAGAGGAACTTTCAAAACCAAGCCAGTAACGTGACATCATCACCGAGCAGACAGTGAGCCTTCTCTCGTTCTAATGAACGGCTCTACTCTCAGTGAGGCCTCTCGCCTGGAACGCCAACTGGAATACAAGCTCACACCAGACCTCAAATGGAACTCGTATATACGATCCATCACTAATGACGCTAGAAAAATGGTCGGATCTTTGTAGCACTCCAGAAAGTACCTGACTTTTTTTGTCATGCTCTATCATTGCAAGTGCCAGATCAGACCAAAAAGGTGGGTGATGGATTGTTTTTCATCCTATAACTACTTTCCCACGGACGAAACATTGCTAGCCTCTCGCTACTCTGTCTCGATTTTCATGGCAGATATTCAGCGAACAACAGTCTTTGGTTGCACCAGTCTAAGCCTTCACATCTAGGTCCCGCCATACCACGTATGCTGAGTAGATCCGTCATCATTTCCTTCATATTTCATTAGTAAGGAAGAAGTTCCACTCAGAAAACTAGGTGACTATGTGTGGAGAGGAATACACCAGCCTTTTTTGAATGAGGTCAAAATAACAGACAATCTGAATCAGTGTCAACTAAGTGAAATGAAAAAATCTGCCCACTTATTCTGTGTGTTATGGAACAGACTTCCAAAAGGATCCCTCCTTGACCACTGCTATTTTAAACCCTTCAAGTTAAGTCAACCGTTATCAACACACGTCTTCATAATACAAACCTCTTGCTCCCTACGTATACACCCCCTGAAACAACTTTATTTAATAACCCTCTACTTTGAGACTATATAATAAGTATGAAAAAAAGAACTACCTAGGATAAAACATTTCATATAATAGAATATTAAAAATCATATTCGAACAGAAATGATTCGTGTCACTCAAAATCTATCAATTATAGCTTAGTTCTGGAGTACCCTACCCAATGATGTCGTGTAGGTCCTATCCTCTTTCTGTTTTTATTAATGATCTGTCTAAGATCATTAGTAAACCTCAGATGATAGCAGAGTTTATGGATCAGATCTGCTGAGAGACTCTGATCTCGTCTAGCTTTCTAACCAACTATCTTGTAACTTTCAATACTACAAAAACCAACCCATTATCATTTCATCATCACCAATCAGACTAAGTTTTCTACAGTTATTATGAACTGATACAATCCCAGTAAGGTTCTATGATTTGAACATCTATTGGATTTCATATTCACTCCAGAACTCAAGTGGAACTCATATATACGCTTCATTGCGAAAAATGTTGGATTTCATTAGTAAGGAAGAAGTTCGGCTCATTCTGTCACTCCAGAAAGTGCCTGACAGTTTTAGTCTGGTTTATCATTATAAGAGTATATTTGACCAATGACGGAGTGATGCTGTCATATCTCGGTTGGACTTTCTAGCTTTGTTCAAAATTATTCATGCGTTTTTATGTATGAAGAATTATTCCCACCTTGCAGCCTCTTTTCTACAGACGCAACGTCGCCAGTCTATCACTGTTCCGTGTCAAATTTCCGAGAAAAATATTCGAATGAACCCCATTCTTTAGTTACACCAATTCAGACCTTTACAACTGGAACACATCATGAAACTTCAAAGACATCGAAGGACTTTTTTTCTTCGAATTCCAAATGATAGAAGAAAATTCCCCAAAACTGCCACTTTATAAAACAGTTTCAGCGTGGATTATCCCTTAAACACTACATTCTTAACCTCTTCAAGGTTAATCGTTACCTATCCTCCTTATCTTATTAACTCCCTTTTCATTCATAGCACACAGACCATTCACAGTCATTTTAAGAGTATACATTTTTTTATCATTTCATCCCAAACAAAACGGAATACCACAAGTACGCAGAGGATTACACAGAGGGAAAGTGAGAGAAAAGACTGAGTACAGGGAGGATTGAGAAAAGGGCAAAAGATGAACAGGATTTAAGAAGACGGAAGATGGCAATTGACGTTGCATTTAAATTTTTGAAGATTGTAGTTATCAGGGAAGCAAGTAAGCAGAAGGGAGTTCCAATGTCGGGAAGTGTGAGAAATAAAACTGTTGGAGTGGAAGTGGCGGTTGCATTTAACTTTTTCAACAGTCAAAGGGTGGGACCCATATGCCAATCTAGTAGCACACTTAAATTCAAGTAATCGGGCCACTAGGGATAAAAGTTCGTCGGGGCAGTTACCATATAAATATTTGTAGAATTGACAGAGGGAAGCCACATCTATGAGAAAGTGACTGAAGTCGAGCTGCTAAGTCATGATCAATCGCATTACACATGCTTCTTTGAATTTTGTCAAGAACCTCGAGATGAATAGCAGGAGCACCAGACCAGATAT